TCATGAGTAGGATGGCTGGTGGACCACATGTTTAGTATATACCGGTAGTGTAACGTATTATTTATTTTATGGTTCTAGGTTTAACCTAGGGCCTGTTCGGCATGCTCAAAAATACTATTATGATATTTCCACTTTTACGGCATATCCCTCGCACTATTTTTATTTTAGTTTGGACCTGTGTCCGACATGTCATAAACACTATAGTATTTTGTTTTTGTTTTTTTTAAAAAAAAAACAGACTAGTTTTTAATAAAATTGAAAAATATAGGAAACCAGGAACAGGTTCTTTAACCTATAATATATATTTTATAAGTTTCAATAACTCTCTTAATCTGATATGATTTATAAGCTATTTTCATGAAATATTATGGGTAGTATTTTTTTACGATGGCATGCCGAACAGGCCTTAGCTAATTTAGTTCGTCCAACAAGGATAAAATTTGATTGAAATCCCCCCCACCAAACCAACCAATCAGTAGAAGTATCGCCGATGAATTTACCGGTATTCGTCATTTGAGCTATGATAAACAAAGTACCGAATCTCATCGGATACCATACCTCATGTGACAGATAAGCTATCGGCAGCGCTTTCAAAGCCTGTGCACAAGATGTTTGAAGAGAGCCGGTTCCAGGCGTCATATCATGCATGATAGATCCCCGCGAATACACTCGCTACCAGCCCTGAGAGTTTTTTTTTCGCATGGCCAACCGGGCCCCAAATACCGTCGAATTCCATGCGGGTGCTGGGTAACATAACTGCTATTTAGTGTCCCTATTACTGATAAAATGATAGTAGCAAGACACCCTGCCACTCACCCCAGAATATTTCCACCACCCCCATCAGCAGCAACACAAACCAGCGAGCTCCGTTGCCCCACCAAATTTCTGTAACTGGTCGCTATGGACAATACGTACACTTCTCCGCTCAATGGCCCAAGCGTAGGTACAAAGTCCTGCTTCCCTGTGCTCCATTCCCCCCCCCCCCCCTATGATCCACGATCACCCCTTTATCATTGCTAAGGAAACACGCAGTCTAGTGGGCGGGGGCCCCTGTACTCTTAGGATATGTATCCACGACTTATCTCCCTTTCTCATAACCCATATACCATTACTAACCCCATATTAGACATTAGATATCCTGGTACGAACTACTCGACAAGGTCCACATATCTTACCCGCAGGGGTTCAACCGGGGATCCGACATGGTAGACCATCGCACTACCTAGATATTGGAGAGGTGTGACGATGAGTGATACCTTAGCCTCTACAATGACGACCCTTACTACCTTACGGTTGACACCCCGAAGATCCGGGGCCCAAGTTTTCAAATACAATTACGCATTGGCGGAGTCCGGATTTCATCCCAACGTCTCGGAAAGGATCACCCGGCTCTCTCTACTTCCTCCTATGAAAACATCAAGTCCATTGGAGTCAAGCCTCTCCTGTTTCCCGTCTACACAGCAACAATCTCACAGTTTCTCAACTCTTACATCAATTCCCTCCAGGGTAGAATGTCTCTCGATCATTGGTCCGTATCCTACCAGAGATGAACATGAACACTTTGGCTCGGCACCTGATTCTTGGCTCTCGCAATCAGCAAGACCAGGTTCTAGCTGAAGTCAAAAAATGTGCTCAATCGACAGAATATTTTACCAAGCAGCAGCGGTAGCAGGAGAGAAGAACAGCAAGAACCACGCGAAGGCGGGAAAAACATAAGGTTGGTTCAACACCCAAGCTAGAGGTTCCGTTTTTCATTCCACCCCTCTGACATTTTAATAGTGAAAAGCCCCCGGCATCACGAAGGCCTCTAGGATCTCAATGCTAGTTACTGGTACTATCGCCACGTTTCAGGAGAGCTGTTGATGGGTTCTATCGTTCAGTTTTCCTAATTTACTATCAGACCGAAGACCATTTCAAATCGGTAGTTCATTACCAAGGATAACAACACCCGCTTTCGAACCAAGGACAATGCCAGAATCCCCTGCTCCCTGCTCATCGAAGAATCCTAACAACCTTAGCTAACTCCCTCCCTCTCCACCCCCACACACTCGAGTACCCCCCTTGCATCGCATACCCCCCCCCCCCCAACACCTAATCCCGCAAAATCCGTCCCTTTACTCACCGTTACACGAATAGCTAACCCGAATAACTAACCCGAACCCAACCAAGTCCTCAGGTTTGTCTTTACCTTGGCCCACCCATGACACTCCTTCCCTTGCGCTCTCCATATTAGCGAACGTTGTGACCGCAAGGTTATCCAAGAGAATACCTTTGGATACCGGGGAGGTACTCGCTAAACCCACCCTTGTCCCCGAAGTCTATCCCGAAAATTATGTCCTCGGAGGATTAATACTCCCAGAAAATTGATGGTGTTGGGGTGAGCCACTCATCCCCCTTTGCAGCTTTTTTAAGGCATGGGTTGATTGGGCTGTTACAGACAAATCTGCACCGGAGGTAAGAACATTGCTGCCACGGAACAGGCGTGCTCCCCCACCAGCCACGCCGAGGCCCTGAGCATGCTGCTCCCCCGTCATTCTCCTAAAGGTGCTTGCCACTTCCGTACCCGCCAATTGACCTTGCTATCAGGATGCTGCCTGCCCTTAGGTGGCCGGGGTAGAGGTCCCACCAGTCACGAGGGTAGAAAACTGTGGGTTCGTTGGAGAAGAAGGCGGTGCACAAACACATGGAAGGAAATAAGGGATTTTTCGTTAAGTATCTGGGATCGCTTCAGGTAACCAACTATAAACAGTCTTTTACCGCGTGTTAAGGGTAAGTGAGGAGACCTTGTCCTCATCGGCTCCTAGGTTACGTGGCCAATACGAGGGAAGAATTTCATTTGTTTCGGTGGTTTTCCAACTTCTCTGCGTTCCCTTGCCTTATTTCTCCCTGCAAAGAAACTGCCAAGAGCCGGAAGAGAGAACTGAGAAAAGGGAAAGGTGTGAATCGATGGGAAGTCAAGGAAGTATGCGAATCGATCTCCATGAGAATCGCTCCGAAGGAAAGAAAAGAAACAAAAGAAAATAAAGCAAACATAAGGCGCAGACCTGTGTGCCAGGCATCAGAGGTACATAAACAGTCGCGTATATCTGCGAACGCTCCCAATGCCTGTACATAACCGTTCTCATATACTCAGCAATTGACATGCACGATGCATCCGAGTGATCGAGTGTGATTTCCTGACTTGCCGAGGTTTCATAACATATCTACCGTGACGGGAATTAAACTGAACACTAGTGCAGTCATCGACAGTTTCTTCACAACGTCTGACCATAAGGGGTGATATGCTATCTTCACCATAATTACTTATAGGAGTGAGGGTTGAAAATATTTCACCATAAGCGCATATTCTTCCCTAAATAGTCACGTCCGGCGAGATGATCAGGATAAGGAGAGAAAGGATAAGCAATAGTGCGCGGTGCGGAATTTTTAGGGTGAAGAATGCTTGGAGAACCATGTGGTGGAGAAGGTGCAGGGAGAAAGCGGCGGGAATTGGAGGTTCATGACGATAATGGAGCGGTAGAACAAAACAACCTTGTAGAACGCACGCCCTTGCTAACCTCAATATCGTGCCCCTCTTTGCCGTCTTGCAAGGTATCATGGAATATAGAAGCTAATTCTTAACTCCGCATTTTTCCAAGAACCCAACTGGCTTATTTAACCCAATACTATAATACATCATGAGATCCACTATCTCCGCCAGCACCCCGGGAAGGATTAGCATTCCCCTGATAATCAATTTAGAAAGTGAGAAATTGACATAAGATGTGACTCACCGAAAAATCCGATAACTGCCGAAACTGCCAACCCGTTGAGATATGATATGAAGGTGGCCCCCGTTTCCATCGTCCCAATTTTACCCTCTATTTGAGAAAACCGGGTCTCCCTACGGGCCATTAGCATTCTCAACTCTTATTACTAGTGTAAGCATACCGCAAACTACGTCGTAGATTAAACATAGGGGGAGAGAAACTTTGCCGGTGTCAGGCACCACCCCGTCGATCTGACCTCCCCTACAGGCGTTTATCAATCCCTGCTATGTTTTCCCACTGTCACCCCAACCGTCGGCCAAACCAGGGGTAATGAAAGGGATTGCTTACCAGGCGACCCTTAGTCACAAATATTACACACTATACACTCGACCGATGACACTATCAGCTCCAGCGGGTACGGATGAACCCAGACATACGTACAACACCCCGTGGGAGAAACCGAGTGATGGTGGTATGTGTACGGTGGAAGGAAGTATAATTTCAGGTGAGAAGGGTACGGCAGCCTTCCCACCCGTCCATTTCCTCCGTCATTGCGGTAGGACGAGACGGACAACAGACTGTAGACCGCCTTTTCGGGGGTACTAAGACGGACTACGCCCAGGACTAGTAGGACCGGACGGACTACCAAGGATTTCCATCTTACAGCCTGAAATCCTATGACTAAAAAGATCTTGTCAGCCCCAAATTTTCAACCACATCTGTGGTTGTTTGTGGTATAATGCCTTGTCCCCGGGAGCCCCCCGCCGCCCACAGTAGTCCCCGGCAGTCCCCGGCAGTCTCCCACCGTCCTCTTGACCACCACTGTTTCATCCTGTACGGCCCACCGTCCTACCTACAGACGCCCGTCCTGTATTTTCACCGCCCCGGACGGACTGCACACGGCCGCCCCGTCCCCTCCAGGGCTCTTGGTACTCCCCCCGTGGGGTTCCTCCGGGCCCCCGGGCAGTTGGGAGCACTGGGGTACGGGGGAAATCGGCGGTGAAGGGAGAAGTGGCTCGGTTTGGACGTAGGAAAGAAGAAAGGTAGATGTGCTCAGGGGAATAGGAGAGAATAGAGTCTCTCTATACCGGTACGGTACTGTACAGTACAAGAATAGCCTCCCGGTACACCACAACAGGTCGGATCGTGTCGACCTCCCTAGGTATGACATCATACGCTGCCGACAGAGCATTACCCTACCCATGCGGGCCCTACTATATTTCCCACATTCCTCCCCGAAACCAAAAGTCTCTCCTCAACCCCCAACCTACTCGAGCGTCCACAAACAACCGGATCATCACACCCCTCCCCTATTCCATCAAATTCATTTACCCTAGCCGCACCGAACCGGCATATAATTATCATCCCTCATCCCTTGGATGAGCTACCAATCACCTCTCACGACCTCTCAGCTCCCCCAACGGCCCTTCTTTCTAGGGGTTCTCGTGGCTGTTTGGGGGAAGAAACAAGGTTCTTCAACCTCCTCCAAACAACAGAGTTACAGAACAGAGCCACGAAACGAGAGCATACAGATCAATGATAAGGTGAGTCAGGAGAGAGTCCTTCATTCCATTCATAGCACCTATCCTCACCCGAGATGCCCCCGGCATAGCTCGTATCTTCTTTGCCGTCCTAGAACGTGATGCAGCACCTGCTACAGCCTCCATCATGGCTTTCACCTTCGTTCTCGCCAGGTCGGCAATGCAGCACAGGTAAGCCTTGAATCTTACAAGCCGTATCTCAAGCTCCATTGGTGATACTAACTTGGTGGACGTACAGCAGAAAGTTATTGATGAGGTCGGAGGAGCAGCTACCGAAAAAACCCACCGAAGCGAGGAATTAAGGTCCTCGCCCAGCTGGAACGGTTTGCTGTTTTGGAGAGTGTAGGTATTAGGCCGCAATCGTTTGACAAGTGCTAACTTGTTTCAAAAAGGTATCCAGCAAATCGACGGAACCTTCAATGGAATTGAAGGATAAATAAAGCGGACCTCTGGTCTGGGAACAATTGCCCCTAGGCTAGGAGCGGCACGTCTCCCACTGGACCCTTCCCGGTACTCAGCTAACATACATGTCTAAGCGGCAGATTGGCGATGCTTTCAACGGAATCCAGACGGTTATTACAGTGGAGGTTAATAATGCGTTCTGGACCGGAGAGGAAGCAAAGGAGGTAGGGTGCCGTGGGTGCGGACACCAATTTTCATTTTCTGTGCTAGGTTGTTTTCTTTACATCAGGAGAGACAACTAGAGGCTTGTGATCGGGGTTTGGTGGAAATGTGAGCGGTGCTGGTGGGCAGCACCGCTCGTGGTTTGTGGTTGTTAATTGATTTACTATCCCAGAATCTAGAGGACTATACGTCAAGGCAAGAGCCACGATCACGGCAAGGTCGGGGATCTGTGGAGTACTGCTAGTGTGGGGGTCTCTCGCAGTGTATGTATTTTAAATGATTATAAGCAATAATGAGATGGGATTAACTAAACTGTATGAATTGTGATGTGCATATGGTCGTAGAGTTCTTGGGATTATCAACCTTCCGTTCTCGCATCCCTCTATTCTTCCGGATGGATGGTGGAAGACTCCTTGCCTACGACAACAAGTCCTTGGCAACAGGATAACAATATCCCTATTGAACGACCCTGCCCCTTTACCCAACTCTGCGTTGCACCATAAGCATCATCCAACCCCAAGCCGTCGGTCATTATCTTGAGCTTTTATCGCCCACCGGAGATTTCAGGTTCTTGCAGAATCACATCAATATTCAGGGTTACCGGCAGGAATCCATCTGTGTATCTATCAGTGGATAACTTGAGGTAGATTCCCGAGTGTCTTTTCTTCTACGTGTCCATTTCAGAAATATCTTCAGCAACTTTCTTGAGGATTTCTACCTCGAATGATCTCACCTCTAGTCTGAGTGACGTGTATAGTCATCGATCTTCCGGAGGGATGGTTCCCGGTTTTGCCTCGAACGTGCGGTATTCCAGTTTTGAATATCCGTCTGTCCTTGGAGAATTCTGGAGGATTTTGTTTGGCCAAGTACGAAGCCTGACCCGATATTCCGTCAGACGTTCATCCCAAGCATCAATACACATGAAGGTACGCTCCGCGAGAGAGGTAGTTTGCGGTACCCCCACAATATCTGAAAGTTGCTGTCCCCGTTGGCTAATGAGCTCTTTCTGGCTTCTATAGATTCTGCGTTACTTCCCCCGGTACCATTTCCAGCCCGCTCACAACCTGTTTGAGCGAGACGCCCAGCACGCACATCCACAACACCACCCCCCGAGTTGGGAAACTCAAGGTAAAAACACACAACGGCAACATTTCGCCCCCCCCCCGGCCCGATCGCACGAGCTGTCTATAGCCAGCAAGCTCACATCACGACTCGCTAGTACCGGCCCTTTTTCCATTCCTCGAGACCCCTCCTCCTTATCACCGATCAAAGTCCTACGACCCCGACACCCCCATAGCAATACCAAGTTCATCCGATTCACTTCCCCCACTACCGGCACACCACCCTCCAAGGCCCCCAGGTTGTAAGATCCATTCCCTTCTAATTTCGACCCGGCACACGCAGGCGCCCCCCGAGCCCCAACCCAACGGCGATAACCAGGCCGAGACTCGTGACCACTCATCGGAAACATCAGAGCTGTTCCACACCTTATTATAAGAGCTGGCAGTGCTGAAGGAGATCTTTGCTGTTCTGAAGGTGGTGGGGGGTTGGCGGTTGAGTCCGTCGCTTGATGGAATTCCCGGAGGAGGAGGAGGAAGAAAAGGCGGGCTGGGCTGGTTTGTGGAACCTCGGGAATACCTCAACGCTGCACAATCAATCTATCTCCCAGATTTGTCTCCGGAACACATTGTTCGGGCCTGCCACATTGGTCGTGGGATATTTCATATTATTTTAGACTCCTGTACTACACAAAACGGTGGAAATTTTTGTGTCGCCCTTGTTCCATGTCTAGGATACGGGTGGCTGAGCGAGTGTCTCAGTATTCTCCAGCGATGATTAGCATGGATAACCATACCGGTAGGCTTGTAAAGTGCGGCTTATGAGACTGACCTTGCACAAATATTCGATAAGTTGGGCTCGGTGGGGAGAAGGTCATTTTTTTTCCCAACGTTAACATGGTACAGGTGCATGACACTGCCAGTTACAACGCAGAGCCTCATAAAGTGAAAGGAAGAAGTTAAAAAAAAACATCCATCCCTCCATTCCCGGATCTAAAGGGGAAAAAAAGAAATCTCAATTGATGCGTCCACACCATCTACCCTGCCGTACCCAATCGCCCGCCAAACTCCATGCTTTATCCAGACATCCTTCCCATCGAGTGATAACTACAAATCCAAACCTCCCTCCTCCCTCTCCAGCGCCATACGCATATCCCACAGGGACGGACTGCGACAGCTGGCGCCTATTCGTCTTGCTTGTGGTAATTAACCTTTTCGTTCCAGCTGCAAGTCATTAGCGCACAAAATCTACCGCGGAAACGATATGAGAGCCTACAAAAGAGTCTAGAAAACGTTAGCGACCCATACCGACCATCCAAGAAAGGAGAAGGATAGGAGGAAGAAATACCTTGTCACCATCCCCCCAGAAGTAATTCTTAGTCCTGATGTTCTGATACGGGTATTCGGTCCTCTCCTCTAGCGGTGGCATATGCGCCCAGTGCTCCCAATGCTTATTCCAAAGGCCATACGCATTAACACCCGCAACAATTATAGAAGGGATAGCGATGCTATTTCCCCATCCTATTAGTCCTCCATTTCCCCGATCCTTCGTCGATGTGCGGGTTTGCCGAGGGAACATACAAATAAGTAAGCTTCTTCCAAAGCTCTGCCGGAGAATTAGCCGCTGCCACAGTAAAACGCCCGCGGGGGGGCAAGGGAGGAGATATGTAGTACCGCTGGATTCAGCAGCATGATGCTTCACTGCCTCACGTTCCTTGACAAACGTGCTCTGGGTGCGTTTCGGGGCCGACTCCGTGGCCAGACGGCGGGCTTGTTGCAGGATACGCGGCTGCGTGCGCGGAGCGCGGGTGAGGATGCGAGCGGACAGCATTGTCGTTGTTGCTTTGTGAGTAGAGAGAGAAATGCAGTGGCCGTCAGTTTGTGATGAAGTTGTTTAGGCAGGGGGGGAGAAATCGACGGGATGGGGATGGGTGATAGAATTGGCTTCAGGGATTTGGTGGGGTGATGATTATGTAAGCTGAACTGGGCGGTCGTTATTGGGGGAGTTTCATTTGGAGATGAGGGATCCTGGTACTGGTGCTAGTGAAATTCCGGGATAAGCTCATTACGAGTAGCGGCGCACCCCCTGTGGCGGAAACCAGCCCAAAAAGCTCGGAAGCAAGATCTGAAAACTGGGAAATCCTCTCCCGTGAAAAAAAAAACCCCCCGTTCCGCTCAACTCCATGTCTCCGTACTTACACCACCATACGGGTAGCTCGATCGAAATGCCCCCACAAACAAATGCCGACCTGCTAACCAACGAAATCGATCCCCGTGCACTCCGGATCCGTGAGAATGGAGGCCCCGCAAACGATATCGTGCCAACTGAATCCACCACCAATCAACGAAGGCGGACGTCCGTTGCCCTAGCTCTTGGCGATGCACACCCCCGCGCGGAACTGGAGGCTTCGAGACGGCAGTTTGTCGATTACGACGGGTTGTCATGGCCGAGTATGTTGTAACTCGCAGTGGCTCAGGGTGTTAGCTAATGGAGGGTTACAGGTTCAGGCACGATGGATAGGCTAGAGGCCACGCCAGCTGAGGCGGAAGCCAGGCTTGATAAGCTGTCTGGAGCGTGAGTTCCCCATTAATTGAAGCTCAGGAGGGATACACCTGACACCCGAATGGGGGTGTATAGAATCAGGACGATATTAGAATGCATCGGCGAAGACCCCGACCGCGAGGGCCTCCTGGAGACACCCTCCCGATACGCAAAAGCAATGCTATACTTCACGAAGGGTTACGAAGAGAATCTCAAGCTAATTGTCAATAACGCCGTTTTCCAAGAAGACCATGACGAAATGGGTACCCCACCGCACTCCCCCCCCCCACTTGTCTCCTCCGAGCTAACCCCCAATAGTCATAGTCAAAGACATTGAAATCTACTCCATGTGCGAACACCACCTGGTCCCTTTCACCGGGAAGATGCACATTGGTTACATTCCCCAAGGCAAAGTTCTAGGCCTCTCCAAGTTCGCACGCATAGCGGAGATGTTTGCACGCCGCTTACAGCTGCAAGAGCGCCTGACGAAGCAGGTTGCTGCGGCGATCGAGGAGATTTTGGAACCCCTGGGAGTGGCAGTGGTCATGGAGAGCGCGCACCTGTGCATGGTCATGAGAGGTGTAGAGAAGACGGCGGCTTCTACAACCACTAGCTCTATGCTGGGGTGCTTTAGGAAGAGGAGCAGGACTAGGGAGGAATTTCTAAGACTTGTGCGTGCCCAATTCTGAGAGACGGTTGGGACGGAAAGGGGTGGTGTATATTCGCTGACTATGTGTATTGTGCATGCGAACAGGCGTTACATAACGTGAGATACTAGTGGTTGGGGTCTCTCTTTTCTCCTCACCCGGGTTGTTCCGTTAACGTGGGGTTTTTTCGGGGAAGTTTATCGGATGTGTTGTTGGTAGTTGTGCCCTTAGCATTGTAGTAGACAGTGAATGGTTCAACTATATTTATTTTCATCCCGGTACCCGAGAATATGTGAACTGTGTAGAAGCCAGACGACGTAAGAGGTATTGCATGCTATTATAGGAGTGTGTATACATGCTATTTCTATCCACTACCCAAATTCTCGGCTCGAAATATTACGAGTGATACCCGATGAATATTGGCAACTTTTTAGCACAATCTCACCCTCATCAGCGCAGCAAAGCTCTCAAGGGTGCCCAAAGGGAAGTCACCCCAGTCCACATATCGATAGCCCATATTTAGGTATCCCATGTAGCCCAAGATCCACCGACGTGGCCTTCGCTCCCAAGATGGTGCAAGCTGATATGGCCATAGAGCCTACGTTTGTGCAACAACCTCCACATAATCGTGTACCCCCTTCTTGGTAACGATCCAGATAAACCTCCCCGGCTGCTCACCGATGGCCAGAGACCTCGTCTACTCCATGTCCACCGCTACCGGCTTCCAGAGGAAGGTCGGATGGCCAATCGGCGAGAGGGGCTGTCCGGCTCGTGCCGGTCCGTTCGGTCGAGAACCAGTATGGGGAGAAAAGAGAGAATGTCCCCCCCCCCCCTACGTCCGGTGCCAAAGCTAGGAATTTCCGGAAGGCGGCGTATGTTAGGCAGTACTGAATTAGGTCCGTGTGGTATCGTCATAGTTCTGGTAGTCGACTTGTCGTTGACGATGATCTGTAGGCGCGGAGTTATTCACTAGGAGAGAGTGTTCCCTGACATTACCGGAGAGATCAATTGAGAACTTTGGGGTTTTCACCGCTTACAACTTTTGGAGGATGCACTGAGGGAGGTTTCGATAATCCATAGTGATTAACTGATCCCTCCGGGTATCCGTGTGCAGTGCTTGCAGGAAATTTGAGAAGGATAGCGCCGTAGCTATGTTACCAAAGTCGTATTGCACAGGAGGTCGGTGTCGGCAGAGTTTTATCCACTTATCGGTTCTGTGAGAGGGGCATGCGTCCGGGGAGTTTCCTGCCCTCTCGAGTGTTTCTTCTTCTCGGGCGTCGGAGTAGATCCTCATGTCGCTAGCTCCCCTCCGGCGGGGATATGTTGGTGGGGGGGGGTTTGCCGGCATCGGCTGTTCCAGTCATAATTATGGTATCGGTAGCGCCATCCGTACGATATAGGTGTTCGGGTGAATGCTCTAGCCCGGGTATTTTATATCACTCCGAGTCCCTGGCCCATCAAGAGGGAAGCATCATGTCACATCCACCGAAAGCTTCACTAGCATCCACCCAATCACCTTCTTGATTTACAAACTTGTGTGGGCTTTATTTACTCTTGTTTGTTTGCACACCTACTCGCCTTTGGTCTACGGACTGCTTCCTCGAGCGAGAAGGCTCGTTTCTTTGCCCTTTCAGTTGTCCGGGCAGATATCTGTGGCTCTGACCCAGTATCCTGGACGCTGGAGTGGTGATGGCGGGACTTCCTCTCGGAGGTCAGGCCTTTACGGCCCACCGTCCTTCCCCCCCCCCTCATATCACGATCCTCGTCCTCGGACTCTTCTGGGGGCGATATTGAGGTCACGTCCGTGTGGCCCTCGTCCCCCTCCCCTGCCAGCGTGGTGGGAATCCCGTTTGTCCCGGAGACTCAGCTTGGAGCTCCTCTGGCCGCAATTTCAGCTGGTGTGGCAGCTGCAGCTTCTGGGAGGACCAGTGATGGGATCCCCTGGGAGCAATTGGGCACGGTGGTGCCAGCAGACTTGGTGGTGGGGGCAATGCCTGATTGGATAAGAGAGTTGCCCTCGAGCGAGAGGGCGCTATATGCGATAGGTCGATCTCCGTTCAGGAGCGACGATTCTGGTGACGGTGACCTTGTGCCCCGGCACGACCCGTTCGGATGCCCGCCGGGACTCGGCCCTGTTGCGCGTCTGTCGGTGCCCCTTGGCGGCCCGGCTCAGGAAGTGGCTGGCACACCCTCCCCCGTACAACCCGGTACGGACGACGGGAGCTTGGTGTGTGCACCGGTGGTGGGGGGTGGGTACCCCCATGAGAGAATTAACTTTTCCGGGAAGCGGGTGGCCTCACCGGACAGCGATAGTGACTCGTTTCCCGGTCCGTCTGGGGACAGTCTTGTTGAGTGGAGTCCATCTCCCTCGTCCCACTTCGCCCCCCGCGCCGCGGTTCCCGTGGCTGAGGGCAAGAAGTTGCTGGCGGTTGAGGCCCCCCGAGCCTCGCCGATTGGTAATGTCCCTCCGGTGTTTGGGGATGCTGAGCCGGTGATGTCCTTCGCGGATATGCTGGAATGCTCCTCAGTGCCGTCGTTGCCTTCCCTCCCCCCCCCCCCCCCTCGCTGGTGTTCAGGTTGGGGACGAGGTGATGGATTTGGGTGCAGGGAAGAACTCGGAAGCTTCCGGGCTGGGCGACAGTGAGCACGCCGCATGCCCTGCTGACCAAGGCAGTGTCGGTGAACCGTCGACCCCTCCCTCCGCGCTGGTGAGTCTACCGTCTACGGCGGAGACCCCGTTGCGGATTCGACAGGCCTTCGAGGAGGTTCTGGAGGACGACGATGCTGCCGGTAACAGGGAGACGCCCTGCCCAGTGGATAAGGAGATGATGGATGCGCTCGACGATATCCAGGAAGGTCGAGGGAGGGCTTTGTCACCGGATGACGACATCCCGTCGGTAGTCCGTTACCTCCAGTTGAGAATGGAAGCCAACGAATACACTTCTCTTAGGGAGGTATCCGAGGACATGAAGGTGTTGATGGGTGCTGTCAACCAGCTGTTCGCCTCTGTGGCCCAGCTGACGGCCAATGTCAATGCCGGCATTGAAGAGAGGGAGAAGGGCAAGGGTAAGGAGAAGGTGACCTTTGCTGACGTTGTGCAGGGTGCAGCCCCTGCGACACGCCGCAAACGCTATAGGGGCAAAAATTACCCGCCCGCTCTGGCCAGGCCCAAGGCCCCTGTTGTCCACGCCGTTCCCGTGGCACCTGCCGGGGATACGGGTGAAAAGGTGGCCAGTAAGCCGAAACTGGTACAGATGGCCAAGAAGGAGGTACCACCTCCGAGGGCCGATGTGGCTGTGCCCGCCGCGGCCAGGCCGATTCCCGAGGGTCCCGCCGCGATGGCAGGTAACCAGTGGAAGACGGTTGCACGGAAGGCCGCCGCGCCGCCCCCCCCCCCCAAGCCCGCGCCGAGGCCCTTGACCCTGGCCGCCTCGACTCCGCATCCAAGCGGGCGTGAACGGCACCTCACGATGAGGTTTGCCACGAGGAATTGCGTCATCCTTCCGGACGGTGTGACAACCGAGACGATCCGCTCGAGGATCAACGTCTTTCTGGCCAATAAGGCCAAGATTGCTGGAAGCCACCCGTATATTCGGGAGGCTCGGCTTAGACCCGATGTGGGATGCATTTTTCTGACGCTGGCTGGCCATACGGCTGACCAGATTTCCGGGTGGCTTGATGGCTGCCACGGCGTTGTAATGCGCGACTTGGGGTTACCCGACTTTGAGTTCGCGAAAGACCAAGCCAAGACCAAGATCTTGGTGACAGGTGTGCCCCTTTCGGACACGGGGCGCGGTTCCGGCTGGAAGGTGGAGAACTGGACGGGTGACGTCGCCTACGATGGTCTGCGCGTGGACCTCGAGGGTGCGAACCCAGGACTGGTGGTGTCGGGGAGGCCGAATCTGTTGGGATCGGTCTTCACATTGAAGAACAACAAGGCCGCTGCGTGCTCCATCCGTTTCCTGGTGGATCGGAACGAGGCCCTGGAAGCCGCCGTCAGGGCGGGTAAGGTCTTCCTCCGGGGTGGCGCGCGGCCGATGAGGCTGTGGCACGAACACGCTCCCGCCAAGATGTGCGAGAAGTGCCTCCAAGTGGGACACTCCCCAATCACATGCAGCTTTCCCCCTCGGTGCAAGTTGTGCCGCCAGGGGCACCTGACCAGGTCCCACGTGTGTGGGCAACTGAACTGTGACAGTGCGGTTGGTGTGGCTTGCATCCACACTCGGCGGCTGTGTCTTCTCTGCGACCGGTCTGACCATCTCACGGGATGGCCCGGATGCCCGGCACTGAAGGCCTCCGACACCCCACCGTCCTCTCGCGCGTCCAGAGCTGGCACCCCACTGGTCCAGGACGGCACCAAGCGAACGTCCGGGGCCGCCGACAAATCTCACGTTCGCGAGAACAGGAAGAGGACTCGGAGTCGCAAGAGGCATACGACGACGGATGGCGACAGGATCTTGGCGGAGGAGGAGGAGGAGGGGAAGAAGGTCCGGTTTGCGGACAAGGGTAAGAACAAGGTTGATGGCCCCAAGGGTGTCCGGACACCTACGCCCCCTCCGGGTTCCCCCCCCCTCCAGAAATGGGTTTGTGCGGGCGTGACGGCTTCCATCTCGAAGCGCAACGGCGAGTCCGTCAAGGATGGTGCCCGTGAGGGCGATGGCAACAGAGGTTCCCACGGCCTCAAGTGCGGCACAATTCCCGTCGGGTCGGTCGACCTGGCGGCCAGGCTTAGCGAGACCGACTCAATCGGTATCGTTTCGCTCCCTACGCTCGGCCGGCCGGTCGGGGGTGTTAGTGGATCCGCGGTCGCCCCATTTTGATGCGCTTTACAACCTGCGCATTAAATGTGGGGAGGGGGGTGGGGAACCGTGAGTTGGCGATGGAGGTGTTTTCCTTTGTCGATCTGTTCTTCTTTCTGGAGCCTCCTCGTGGGGCGGGGAATGTATTTTTACCGAGCGACCAACCCGGGTTCGAGTTGTTTTCCTTTGTTGAAGGGTCCGGGGTTGAGGTGTGGGTGCGGTCGTCTCTGGGTGGGATGTTTGAGCTGGACTCGCACGGGGATGCATGTGGGTCCGTGTATTATAGAGATGGGGAGGGGGTGAGGAGGTCGGTTGGGGGGGTGTATCTGCACCCGAGCAGCCCGGTCGGCATACTCAGGACCTCCCTCGATACCATCAGCGACAAGGACGTACTGCTGGGCGATTTCAATGCCCGGCACGAATCATGGGAGGTCGGCCCGATCCCATCGAGCAGTGCCACGAGGGGAAAGGCTGTACGAGCGTGGGCAAACAGGTGTGCCTTCGACCTGTTGCCTTGTCCGGAACCTACCTGCGGCGGCGTCACCCGGATCGACCTGTGCTTCACCCGATTGTCGGGGGTACGGCACTCGTACTCAGACAAGGTCGGGCTGCAGCATGTGGCCCAACTCGCGGAGCTCCAGTGGTCGAAACCAAGCGATGCGGTGGAAGCCAAGCCTGACCGGAAGAAAGCGGACTGGGCCGCGATCAACAAGACCTGGGTGGACGCGGACGACACCCCGGATGGTGAGCTGTGGGGTCTGATGAGAAGTCTGGTAGACGGAATCCCTAAGAAGCGATCAGGGGTGGAGGGCCTGTCATGGTGGACGGACGAGCTCGAGTCGCTAAGGAGCGATGTTCGATGGTTGAGGAGGAGGGCCGGGAACTCACCGGCAGAGCTGGCTGACTATCGGTTGGCCCGGCGCGTATACCGGTTCCGAATGATGGATGCTCGCAATGCATGCATTTCGGATAGGATATCCCGCTCCGATGATCCCGACATATTCCGGCTCGTTCGCAAGCTGGAGACCAAGAGGACCCTACCCTCCATGAAACGACCCGATGGCTCGGTCGCGACAACTCACGAAGATGTATCGACCTTGATTGGAGAGCAGTTGGCTCCCACCGATTCGCCGACCCCGTGGGTGGCATCCGAAGTCGACATGGAACCCTGCATCGAGCTGGACGTTGCCATGGCCCGGAGTCCTACCAAGACTGCTCCGGGTAACGACAATATGACGTACGCCTTTGCTCGTCACCTCAAGCGGACCAACGACGTCGCCTTCCGCCGAATGATCGATCACGGCCTGCGCTTCGATGTGCCCGACTGGCACTCGGCTGAGACTGTGCTCATCGAGAAGGCCGACAAACCCGACTACCGCGTGGTCAAGGCTTGGCGGATGATCCATCTTCTCCCAGTTGTGGCCAAGATAACGGAACGGATTGTCCTGCTGCGGCTGGCTAGACATCTGGAGCTGGAGGAGACCCAATTCGGGTCACGGAGGAAGAGGGGCGTACACGATGCCATGGCTGTTGTCCTCGAGTTTTTGAGCCATAACCGGGATATGAAGTGCATGGTCCTCTCCATGGACATTGAGGGTGGGTTCGACCACATCGACCATGATCTGCTCTCAGACTTTTTGATAGCCAGGGGGGCGCCCCGCAATCTTGTGTTGTGGGTTCGGAGATGGTGCCTGAGGAGGACTGTCCGGTTTCGTTTCAATGGACGCGTCTCGCGACCATTCTTCACCGCGCTTGGGGTCCCCCAGGGATCCCCACTCTCACCCTTTCTCTTTGCAGCCTATGTTGCCGACATCTTTCGGCCTCGGTTCAGGTATTCACCCTCGGTTAGGAGAGTGGTCCTGTCGTACGTGGATGACGGGGTGATCCTGGCAGCGGCCTGTTCACGGGAAGCGTGCCAGGGGGTCGCGCTCGAGACGTTCAAGGACTGCCGCCAGGTTGCCCAAGGGAGGAATATGGACTTCTCCGCGCAGAAGTTGGCGTGGATGGGGTTCGGTGATACCACGTGGGAGCCGATGGTGCTCGACGAGTCGGAGCTGGTTGCGGCTGAATGCCTTCGAGTGCTCGGTTACTTCCTCAACCGCTTCGGGCACTGGGATGACCACGTTGGGCATTGGCTCAAGAAGGGGCTGGATGTGCGGCGGCGGATCGCTGCGATGACGAGGAGGTGGGGTGGCGAGGGTGGGTTGGGGGCGTGGGAGACGCTCCGACTGATCCAAGCGGCCTACCTGCCGACAGTGTACTATGGCCTGGAATTCGTGGCCGACTACGCGCCATATGTGAGGCAGATCCAGGTGCATGTCAACGACTGTTTCCGGTCGCTGTTCCGGACGCCGACGAGACTCGCCAACAATATCTTGTCGAGTGAATTTGGATGTCCCCCGGTCCATGTTACCGGGAGGTACATGCAGCGGAGGTGCTTTGCGCGGATGATCACATATCGATACAATGAGGATATGCCGTGGCAGGGCGCCATTCGGGAGGATTGGGGTGATGGTCGCTTCCAGGCTGGCCCCACGACGTCGGGTGTGGTCAGGACAACCGTTCCGGAGGTCTATATCGGCCCGGACAAGGCGACAGCCATGGTCAGCCATAATCTGTGGCTTGGCCGGCGGTTGGTCCTCGATGAGCCCATCCTGTACACCGACGGCTCCCGCTCCTCTCGGGGTGCAGCTGCGGCCTGGATCTGCGTTGTGAGGGGCGATGTTGTGCGCTCCCAAGGATTCTCCGTTCCGGTCGAATGGTCGATCGTCGAATGCGAGATGATGGCTGCCATAGATGGTCTACGGGCCATGGCGGACTCCTACACGGGGCTGTCCGTCACAGTCTTCTCGGACTGCGCTCCTGCCATGATGATGGTGAGGAACATGGCCCCCGACGACGAGACTGCCGGTCTTTGGGATGTCGTGACGCGAGCGTGCAATGCGTTCGGGAAGGTGTCCTGGAGGTGGGTCCCCGGTCACAGGGGAATAGACGGGAACGAGAAGGCGGACGCCCTGGCCAAGGCTAGTGTCGATCTCCCTCTGCAAGCAGGGAGATGGCAGGGCATAGCGATGGGCATCCGGAACGGGATGCTGGCTCGGGATATCCGGGCGAATGAATGGGCCGAATGGTTCAAGGACCAAGGACATGCCTACTACGAGAGGCTGCCCAAGAAGCCCAGACACCTGCGAGGGCTGACCAGGATGGACGTCTTCGTCCTGATACGCATCAGGTCCGGTGCGGGTGTGGTGGGGCACGATGAGTGCGACTCTGGCGACGAGCGGTTCCACCTGACCAGCTGCCGGAAGACGGAGGCCGGTAGGCCAGCGCACGACTCGCTGTTCAACGACGAGGATATCCCGAGGTGGAGGGAGTGGTGGCTCCAGCATGACTACCTGGGACTGGGTGTTCCCGCCGGTCATGTTCAGATCGGCGACGTTCGGATCGTGGCCGGGAACCCCTTCTCCGGTCAGCTGTACGCGGCCGGACTCAGACCGGTCACAGACTATCGGCAGTGCGGATGGTGTCGGTCGGAGCACGCGACGCCCAACCCGGACGGTAGATGCTTGAGGCCTGTGGCGGGAAGGAGTAATGTCTCCTTCCCGTTCATGCTGCACGATGACTTCGCCCGCTGTGGCGCCTGCGATAGGGCCTTTACCGCCACGTGCGAACCCCTCCGAAGGCATTTCCAGAGCTATCCGGAATGCAAGGTGGTGTGGAATACCAAGTTCTGGCACGAGTTGCCGGACCGGTGGGATGGGATAGCTGTCGAGCGCCAGACCAGACTGGTCATGTGGTGGGCCCGCCAACATGGGCGGATGAAACCGGTCTGCGAGTGGTGCGGTGCGCGATGGGGCGTGGCTATCGACACCCATCTGCGGAGTTACAGAAAGTGCTGGGCTAGGTTGGAGCGGGAGTTTCTGGTCTGGGTGGATCGATTTGTGGGTGGGGATGAGGGTATCGTGCTGGAGGAGGAGCTGCGGGTGACGCGCGCTAATCCGGGATGCCGCCGACCGGGGCGAGCGCCCGTGAGACCCACGGTAGCGATGTCTCGTCAGCGGGGATGAAGGTTTCGCGTGGGAGGAGGGACCGCGAGTGGGTAAGACGCGTTAATCCGGGATGCCGCTGGCCGGCATGAGCGCCCGTGAGACCCACGGTAGTGACGTTCTGTGAGGGGGGGATGAAGGCTTCGTGTGGGAAGGAGGGGCTGCGAGTGGGTAAGACGCGTTAATCCGGGATGCCGCTGATCGGCATGAGCGCCCGTGAGACCCATGGTAGTGACATTCTGTGAGGGGGGGACGAAGGCATCGTGTGTGGGAGGAGGGGCTGCGAGTGGGTAAGACGCGTTAATCCGGGATGCCGCTGGCCGGCATGAGCGCCCGTGAGACCCATGGTGGTGATTCTCTCCAAGGATTCATGTTTGGGTGGAGGGTTGCGAGGGGCTACGGGCCCGGTAGTGATTTTTCTCCAGGGATTCACGTTTGGGTGGAGGGTTGCGAGGGGCTACGGGCCTGGTAGTGATTTTCTACAAGGATTCATGTTTGGGTGGAGGGTTGCGAGGGGCTACGGGCCTGGTAGTGATCTTCTCCGAGGGTTCATGTTTGGGTGGAGGGTTGCGAGGGGCTACGGGCCTGGTAGTGATTTCTCTCCGAGGATTTATGTTTGGGTGGAGGGTTGCGAGGGGCTACGGGCCTGGTAGTGATTTCTAGTTAGGATACCGGGTGGGGGTGGTGTTGGCTTGCCACTGGGACGCAATGCCGTATAGGCGCACATACCCTTGGGGTGGAGTCTAGTGTTTCACGAATAAAATACGCTAACCAGTGTTGGAATGTCGGCGCCATGCGGGAGATATACTGTATCATAGTCTGACGGATTGGGATATGGATCGCTCCGAAGCTCGAGCAAACCCTTTGCATGCTAGTCTGGAAATTAGGCTGTCATCGAAGGAAGGAAGTGTACCTAATATCTGGGTGATAAGTTGAGTTGGAGGAAGGTGGAGTACCAAATAATCATTTTCAGTTCTTGGTTACCGTTGGCTCGGGCTTCACACGAGGGGAGTAGGGATTACGAGGTTTGATGCCGCTCTCCATTTTGCTGCAGCTGCTAGACGGCCCGCTTGGCGCTTTGCTATGACTTTACAATTTCTGTGGAAATGCTACCTGAGAAGACAGGCGGACTGCAGGCCAGAGATTTACATTGGTCAGGGGAAAAAGTATCCGCCTTGATGGCTTTCATGTTTAATTTCAGGGTGATAATAGTACAAAGGGGTCAAGCACTGGAGGACTACAGGAGTACCTGCCCACCCGCCAAATTTTCATTGCTCAGATATTAATGACAAACTCTGCCATGTATTTCCGCGCATGCCGTTAACACCGACAACACTACTCGAGCACATGTCTCTATAAAAGTATACTATTGTTAGCCTGGTTAGCACTAGATATTTCCTGGCATGCCCGCCACCGAACAGGTCCATCTGGAATGCAGGGGCTTTCAAACGGGAACACAGAGGAATGGCAGGGATTCATGCAACCTACCCTGTGATGCGGAGAAATTAGCCGGTTAATGCGAAACTATGCCCCCGGGTAACTCTCGAGATATCATGACTCCCATTTCATCATCCAGTAGATTGGCCAATTCCTCGGCTTGCTTTTTGGCCTGGTGAGCCTCCATATCCAGCTTCTTCTTTTGAAGTTCAATGCTTTGAAGTTGTTTGGACAAGGAATCCTCAATTTTCTGCTTTTCCGCCTTCTGCTTGTCGAGGGCGGACTGGACAGCACATAGAATAGATTTGACGGCCAGCTGCTTCTCCTCATCGCCCAGAATCTCGGCCATTTGCAGCGAGGCACGGATGAACAGGAGGAGTTTGTCGGCCGGAACGGGTATTCGATGGACAGCGCTATGGCGGAGGTCGCCGAGACTCTTTAGCAGTAAGGGGAGCTGAGCCGTGCCGCCAATCTGTTCGAGATGAACAGTGGATGGGCTCTGCTCGAATGTCTTGGACAACTCCTTCGTCCACATGGAAAGTTCGGCCGAGTGAGCGCAGGTCCATCGCTTCCGAGCGAGCAGCTCCGGGACGTGACGTTTGGCAAACCTGAAGCAGGCACCTTCGAGAATGCATTGCAGCGAGGTAGTGATGTTGTGCTGGACACAGTAGGGGAGAATTGGAGAGGGATCGGTCGGGTTCGGTTCGAGGGGACGGGCCTCAACGGGCTCGCTAATGGCATCAAAGAAATCGGGACTGCTACTATCGAGGTAGAATGTGGGGTTAGCGCCATGATTCGAAACGCTTTGAATCCATTGTTGGAAGGCAAGAGACCTCTTTGAAGCAGTGATCACAGGCGGTGCATCCCGCCCAACGGGTTGGGGGGGAGCCGGGGTAACGGTGGGGGCCGTAGCAGGGCCGCTCCCGTTCATGTATGTGGTGCTGCCGTTGACCGAGCCGTTCCTATCCTCCCCATCCCTCAAGTCGCGAGCGCGGGCGGCGCCTTCATCATTCAACCTCTTTGCGAGTCCCTGAGCGCACAGGGATGCCAAGGACAGCCTTATCTCCTCCTCGGTGATGGTAGCGAAACCGGACTTGAACCTGTCGCGCAGTATCTTCTGCAGCAACACCTTCTTCCCCACAAAGGTACCGTTATCGCCGAAGCCGACCTCGTACGAGCGCTTGGTGATCCAGGCTTCCAGTTTTTGTGCAAGCGAATGGGGCATATTTCTGTTTCCGTTTCCGTTTCTTTTTCTTTTTCTTTTTTTCCCTTCCAATCGATTATAGATGCGGCGGGGAGAGAGGTGTGAGGGTATCTCAAACTTGAGCTGTGAGAGAGTGTGTATGTATGAGAGAGTGGGAGTGAGAGTGAGAGAGAGTGTGTGGGGAGTGAATTGGATTGAAGTGAAGGTGATGGTGGGTGGTGGTGGGAATGAGGGACTGTAGGTAAAGTGCAGAATTGAGTTCATAGGTCTAGATTACCATGTCGAGTGCGCTGTCTATACAGTACACTCGTACAGGAAGGGATTGGGTATCTGTGTGTGTGGTGTGTTATCATCCGAGTTTGTTGTTGTCCCTTCCTAATTTATCATTTTATTGTATAGGGAAGCTGTGGTACAAGTACGGTAGGGCATGCTTCGTTTGTGTTTTTGGCTTTTTGCACTTGCGGGTATGGTAGGGTACTTGTACCTGTACGAGTACTGTACTCGAGTACTTTTATCGTACTCGGCCGACTCTTTCTACTTTGCGGGGAGCGTACTCGGTGCACCGTACATGTGATACCGCTGCTTGTACGAGTACGAGTACAGTGCTGTACTAGTATGATACAGTACCTTAGTGCTGCATATGCTCTCTATCGTCGCTTGCATAACCCCCCAAGTCTCTCTCGTGTGATGCTTCCTTCCATACTATCTCATACGAGTACCGTATATACAGTATCATACTGTGGTTTGTTTCCGGTTGAAGCAATTGAGGCTTACCTAATAACTTGAACCACATTTCGCCGCACAGCTAAATCCGGGAAGAAAAGGGGAAAAAAAAAAAAATCAACCCCTCCAATTCACGCCTCCCCCCCCCACAATCCCTACAATCCCCCTCCGACGAACCCAATGATCGCTACCCGTCGTGCACTTCGATACTTACGGCTGTCAAGACGGCTCTCGCTTCGAGATCCTCCAGTCCGGTCCCGCCATCTTCACACACCACCTCCGAACCGTTCGGAGGACTCGTCGATCCATTCTCCTCTCTTGTTGGCCCCCCCTGCGGTGACGATAAAACCCCCCGTGGAAGAGTATGTTCGACAGATACGCGAGCAGTATGGGGACTGCCTCCCCGCCGGTCTGCTTGAAGAGGGTGAATACAAACTCTACGAGAGGTACTATGGCCGCCCGACCCGACTGCTGCAGCCTGGCGAGACGCTTGAGGTGCATCCCGAGGAATGGGAGGAACTTGGGGCTACTATGCACGATGAGGATGGAGCGGAGATTTCGGAGGAGGAGGCCGAGACGGAGTCCGACTCTGACCATTTCCCGCCCCCAAAGACGCCTGGGGAGGAGGACTTGTACGCACAGGTCGCCCAGCGAATCGCCCACCCCGAAGGGGTAAAAACGGAGGAGGGAGGTCAGGACCACGATAACCACTTCCGTGCAGGTTCTCCTAACCTCTTCCGCACACACCCGCTCACGTCCATCGGTCGCTTCGCAACCTATCCGTTCGCCATCCAATTCCCGCCATCGATGAAGCACCGGACAAAGTCTGTCATCGCCAATGTCCCCACCTCGCATCTAATAGACTCGGCGCAAGCCACCCTCGGCGGTTCACCATTCATACACTCGCCCATCTACTCGAAGAAGCGGAGTAAGCGCGAGCTGCAAATTCCCTTGAACCCGACTACTGCTCAATTTTCGGATATGGATGCGCATGTGTTTCTCACGGCCTTGATGCCGGGCCTATACGCGCAGTGCTTGAGTTCGTTGACCGAGCTGCGGAGGCGATTGGGCAGCGATTGGGTGCTCGGTGGGGATCGGGGGGAGCAAGGTGTTAGGAATGTGCTTGATGTGGGGAGTGGGGGCGCTGGTGTGCTTGCTTGGCGGAGCATTGTTGAAGCGGAAGAGGAGAGAAGGAGGGATGAACTCTCCGAGAGGACGGGGAAGCCGTTGCCAGCGGGGGAGAGGAGCGGGCTGCGCGCTGTTGTTGTCACGGGGTCTATCGCTCTTAGGCGGAAGGTATCGCAATTGTTGGACGATACCATATTTATTCCCCGAATGCCGGATATCTATTTCGAAAACCTACACCACATGCCAGGCGTCTCGACGGAGAGGAACAAGGCCCAGCCGAGAAAACTCTACGATCTGATCATTGCTACAAACAGACTCCTCCCCATAGTGAAGTCTTTCTACCGCCACCAAGTCATTGAGCAACTCTGGTCGCACCTAAATCCGAATGGCGGCGTCCTTTTGATGATCGAAAAAGGCACGCCAATGGGCTTCGAGGCCATCGCCAGCGCCCGCTCCACCATCCTAAGGAACTACATCAAGGACGTTGGTGAAGCCTTCCAGCCCCCCCCGACCGCAAATGCCTACGGCGACCCCACCGACCCCTCCATCGAAAAGGAGCCCGGTGCCATAATCGCCCCATGCACGAACCACGAACAATGCCCCTTATTCGCCTTTGGCCCCACCGACGGCACCCGCCGTAAAGACTACTGCCGCTTCCCACAACGCTATGTACGCCCCGGCTATCTGCAGAAACTTATGAATGTGAAGCAGTCAGACAAGAACCACGAGGACCTCGAGTACTCATACGTTGCCTTTCGTCGTGGCGCCGACCACCGCGCCGACACGAAGAACAAGATCAACCCAGCAATGGAGGACTTCGCCCCAATCCCCGTCGATGGCGAACCCGCCACGTCGATTCTGGGCCCGTACACGATGCCACAACTCCGCAATTACAGTCTAACCCTCCCGCGCATCATCGTCCCACCCATCAAAAGCCACAAGCACGTCACACTTGACGTGTGCACTCCGACAGGCTTAGTCGAACGTTGGATTGTCCCTTGGAGCCTCGGAAAATTCGAGTACAGAGACGCGAGGAAGAGTAGGTGGGGTGATCTCTGGGCGCTCGGAGCGAAAACCCGCACAAAGCGGAACATAAATATTGGGGGCGATGGCGGCAAGGTCATGTCAAAGTTGGTTGCCATCAAAGACCCCCATGGCGATGGGGTGAGGGCTATTGTCAAGGATAAGACGCCTGTCTACTTGAAGAATCGGAAGAGGAAGATGAAGGAGTTGAAGAAGGCCACAAGGCTTGAAAGGAAACGAGAGGCTAAGGAGAGGCATGCTGAAAAGGTTAGGATGCACAAGGAGGAGAAGGAAAAGAGGCGGCAGGAGAAGGAGGCCAGGGGGGGGGGGGCACGAGGAAACGGTTAGGATGCATAAAGGGGGGAGGGGAAAGAAGCTGGAAGGAGTGTAAATGAGGGAAAAGGGTTGGGTGGTGACTAAGAGAGAAATTTCACTATGGGATCGGGATGTAACTGTATTTCATACCTGGAGCGTAGGCCGCGGGTGGATGGGGTGTATCATATATACGGGGCTTCTCCATTTTGTAAATTATTTATCCGGTTCCAAAGAGCACTATCCTTAAAGCCTGCTTGGGTGAGGCCATCCCGTTCCCTTGCCCCATACAAATAACCGGTTCACCTTCCGTCACAGAAACCCAGAGAGCCGTTTCTACAGGTAAAAAAAATTGTCACAAGACAAAATGACTATCCTTCCTCCCATTTTTTGTCAAACAGACCCTTGGTTTTTATTACAATAGTGGATGGGAGAAGGGGTAAAACGCCCGGCACACTCACTCCACGCCCCTTCCTCCCTCATACTCTCAGCAATTACCGAACACAGCAACCGCAACTTCCATCACGCATCCGACGGTTGTGAAGGGTGGGGAGGAAGAGGGAGAGGAGGAGGAATTTCTGTGAGGATCCACCACGTTCACAGGGTGTATTTTCCAATGCTTTTGCGGGCCCTTGTGTGCCGATCGTTGGGCGTGCATGGTTGGAGATGGTCGGTTTTAACGACCCTATACAGCACAATCTTCGCCCACATTCTGGTTGATGTTTTGTTCTTGGTAGTCCACTTCTCGATCCTCCTCGCTGCCCTCTCTGCCGCCCGTAGCATCCTGCGATGGCTCCCGCACGTGGCCGGCGCGGGCTGACATCCAGAAGCAGCTCCACCATGCCCAGGCTCCCCCTTTCGGCCTGGAGACCTCTTCAGGCATTCTCAATAGGTGTGCTCCCGCCGAGCGTGGTTTGGGAAATATGATAGATATGATAGCACCTCTCCTCGGGAAGTCGAGTGAGGTTTCGTGATTGGCTGCTCGTAGTTGTTGGAGCAATGGATGAATGGAAGCGAGAGATTTGGGCTCCACGATGGCGATTTCGTGCAAGTCGGATTTTACGGGCGTCAATTGTGGGTCGGTCCTAGTTCCAGGGTCTCTCCCGTTTGCGGGTAGTTAACTATTTGTATTTGCCTATGCTGAAGGCTAGGCGGGCACTGTTTTGTATTATTGCGAGAGCGTCGGTGGGTACGTTTTGACGACCCTATCTGGCAGTTATCACTAGAGAGTATAATACGTTCGAAAGGGCATTCTCGAGGATCGATAAGGTGCTCATTTGTATTTATCCCGGCCCGCAGATTTCTGATGGATTACCTGTGAGCCAACTGAGAAGAATCCCCCAGATATACCATCCAGTGGGTATCATCCCCCCTCCAGTACACAAAGTGATGATATGCCAACGAGGGATGATAGCAAATCCCATGGGCGTCCACCCCCAGAGCAGCAGCCAGTGAAAACGGTAACTCCCCCAGCACTACCAATCCTGTACTGTACCATACCCCCCCCCCCCCCCTGTACCCGGGGACAATACGCAAGCAAAGCATCCCATATCGAGGTAGAGCCTCCCTTGCCAGCCTCCAACGCACGGACTCTTGGAGCTTCGCAGAATTCCCTTCGCTCTTCCCGGGGTACACCACGAAGCGGCCCGCCCCGGCAAAATCCAACCTTTCACGAGCAGAAACCTGGCAAACCTCGACCAACACTACTTCTATCTGTGGGCTGCCGTGGGAAGCTGCTCCGCTCCTCGACGCCGACAGTCAAACTATTTTGGCAAACGAGAACGACATTTGCCCCCCCTCCCCCCCGCCAGCGGATAACGACTACAATCTGGAACAGGGATGCTGTGATAGGGGAGTGTGCAGAATGGGAGCTTGAGGGCAATTGCATGTCAATGCTACCTCCGAGTGATCGCGTGTGGATGGGAATAGTTAAGCAAGCGGAAGAGGTCCGGAAGGAGGAAAACACAAGAAATCTAATGAGTCGGTGGCCAGGCGGAGGGTGGGCACCCATCTACCCGTAGTTTATTTCAACACCGTAAAAAAAGAAACGAATAGAAGATGAATATGTGTTTAAGACCTTGCAGTCCGCCTCCCTCTGCCCACTTTAACTCACCGCGCATGCATACAGTACGAAGGAGGTAGGGGAAAGTCTGGCGAAGTCTTGGTTGCTAATCCCATTCAAATTCTGTGAGCCACGTTCGCCAGACTTTCCCTTACCCCCTTCTTGCATTCCATTCCACTCCGTCTAGACCTCCAGCCAAGATCCGTGAGCCAAGGTCCGTGAAGCCCACCTCTCTCGTAGCCCAGAGGTGGGATCCCAACGTGTTCGCAGATCTGTGTTATATCCGAGCTCCTACGGCATTCTAGATTAGCTGTCCGGACAGTATCATACGGTCCATCTTTGACACGCTTAACCCACTCCACTGACGAGTCCGTAGCAGAAGAGTCTCCCGAATTGTTGCGACTCTTTGGTCCGTCTGTCTATGGCATCTGCCATGGCCCGAGTTCCCCGTTAGTTCCGGTGATTGTTTTTTTTTTTTGGTCGCGGGGGTGGAGGGGGTTTGTCCAAGCTACGGTATCGCTATACCGAAGAGATGAGGAATGACTGCAGCGACCTGATAAATAGTGGATACAAGAGGTGTAGTGCAAATGATACAGCAGGTTAGTGAAGGCCTCTAAGTATCACGAGGGCCCAGCAGGAGAGGCAGCCAGAGGGGAGGGTGATAGACAACCTACTCGTCCATAGCAGATTAAAAGTCATACGGAAAGTCCCAGTCCATCTCCAGACAGACCCGGTGGGAAGGTGGACTATCCGATTGTGGGCTTTAGCCTTTAAGTTACAGTCAGCTTCATAAGGCGATTCTGAGATATGGACCCATCCGGTGGACGCTTTCTCCGGGTATTAACCCAATGGCACGGTTTCAGGGATATGATTACCCTCAGTGAATCCCAATTTTGGATACATGCTGGGGGGTAAGATGCGAAACGGGTAGAATAGTTCTGTCAAGCTAGGAATGCAATTGCCTGTTTTTTCCCTTCCTTCTAACCCGGTGTGTTAACAAGTTTGCCACACCCATCCAAACAACAATATGCGGTTTTGTATCGTGCAGGGAGGAGGCGGAGAGCCCGGCGGCGAAAGGGTGGATAATGATGGCCGAACACCGCTCTCGCATGCCGCTTGAGATAGGCATGAAAAATTGGTAAAGATACTACCCGGGAGGGGGGAGATCTA